ATATTTATGTGCAGAGGAGCCTTCTTCTTCCAAAAGCAGAATTAATCCAACATGGGAAAATGCAAGGAACAATCAATACATACATACATACATACATAAATAAACCAATCACTTGTGCCAAGGTCATCTCCAGATTTAAACCTGGAAGATAAATTGTTCCCAGGAGTTATTTCAAGCCCTACAAAAAAATTTCCTTGATAACAAGATTTCCCAGAAACAGACTGGGAATGAAGTCATTTCTACAATTCTCTTTACTGGTTTCTCGGGGTTTTTGGCATCTGTTTTCACCTTCTGTATTGTATAGGACCAAATACGACAGTTTCCTTCCTATGTCGAGGCAACCGCTGCCTTTCTGAAGGTCCATTCATGCCTGCAGCTTTAAGTACTACTCTGTGTTCAGATTACAGGCCAACAGACACTGTGGTCCTCAAGAGGATTCAATGAAAGCTCCTATTTAGTTGTTGTATTTAGCTATTGAGTGTGATTGGCTCTTTTCTAGTTTCAAACAACTCTAACTAATCAGATGTAGGGGGGCTGAGCATCCTTGGCCTTTCTCTGTAACTTGGTATTAAGGTAAATGGTTTGGGGAAAAAAGACAGCCACGCTCATCTGCATGTAGTTTCTCATCTAGGAATGCCCATCCAACGATACAGGAAGTGCGTAAATTGGCCTTTGCCTACGGTCGTAATAACTGACATGGCTTGGATAGGATCCAGAAAGTTCCTATGCAAGTGGCAAGTATGCGAGTGGCAACTGTGCAAGATTAACACGAGTTTGTGTACAAATTGGTGAATTCCTAAGCTGACTTCCATGACCTTAGATTTCCATTCCACCTCATTCCTAGGGAATCTACCCTATAGGTGTAGTTTTTAGTTCCAGAAGTTGCAGTGTGTTGAATTTGTGTGATGCAAGCTTGCGGTTTCTGGATCTTGTCCCAAATTTCAGAGTACTTTACAACAGGATGGTACTATCTCCTTTTGTTATTCTTTCTTACTAATTAAATATCCCTAAGGAAACTACTCCAGTTTATCCCTGATGATCTCCATTCCATTGTGAACCGGCATATATACCGTCATATCTCTTGCTTACAATCATCTCTTCAGTCTTTAACTGCTGATTACCAGCCATCTCAGAGATCCGGAGCAGCCAGTTTTTGAAGCCCATTGACATCATGAAAGTAAAAACCGATGGCATATCAAAAGAAAATGAGCGGCTGCTCTAAAAGGGGGGAGCCATAATCTAAATATTTTTGAACCTTTTTTTTTTTTTTTAAAGCAAGCGTTTGAATTTGAACTCAAGGCTCAGGCCATATTGACTTCCTGCCTCTTCCTGCCTGGTCCTGGCTTCCATCAAAAACAGGCTATCCAACAGAGACACAAAGCACCACATCCTGAGGCAAGTCACATTCAATCAGATCCACACCTTAAGGGCGCATTCAACTGTCCATCCTCTAGTGTGGTATATGGAAACACTTGCCTAACGGTATATATACCTAAGAAAGATTTAACTAAATTTAAGCCAGAATGCTTTCCATGCATACTATATATCACATAGCATATATATATTAGAGCAGTGTTTCTTAGTGTGGTCCTAGGACCCCTGGGGTCCCCTAAAACCCTCTCAGGGGTCTGTGAAATCAAATTTATTTGCCAGCCTAGGTTGAAAAATAATACAATATTAAAATCCCATCAAACAATTGTGAGAAGTGGTCGTGGCAGCGAATGCATCAATTTTAATTTTTAATACAGTAAATATCAATAAGTATAACCCATACAAACAAAAGCTCTTTTGGGGTCCTCCATAATTTTTAAAAGTGGGAAGGGGTCCTGAGAGAAAAAAGTTTAAAAAACACTGACTTAGAGTAAGGTTTCTAATAAACACTGTAAATCAGTTGGAGTACAAAGAGGGGAGAGTCAGAAACCAAAGTACTGTACTTATCTATATTATTTTAGTAGGGGTTTTTATCAATAAGTATAACCCATACAAACAAAAGCTCTTTTGGGGTCCTCCATAATTTTTAAAAGTGGGAAGGGGTCCTGAGAGAAAAAAGTTTAAAAAACACTGACTTAGAGTAAGGTTTCTAATAAACACTGTAAATCAGTTGGAGTACAAAGAGGGGAGAGTCAGAAACCAAAGTACTGTACTTATCTATATTATTTTAGTAGGGGTTTTTTTTCTCTACTTAATTTTTTTCTTCTTTTTTTTTTAGCATTGACAAATAACAATGCAGTGGAGATCTTGGCACTAAGCTCAAAGATTTATATTCTTTTTCATATCATAAAAATAACTCAATGTACTTTGTCTGGTATGGTCAATCTTTTAATGTTATACTGAACGTTAATTTTATAAACTTTAGTCATTCTCTTTGTCTACATTGATATTACAGTATATCTTTTGTTTTAAATAAAGAAATAAACACCTGCCAACAGTGGGCTAGGAAAGAAAAGTCATACATTTGCAAAAATAAAATGAAATAAAACAACAAACAGACCGAAACTTCAAGATAAGGGATGGCAACATTCAGTAACTAGGGCAAGAACATTTCAAACTCCCAGGATACTCAGCTGCTTTGAAAGCTGCAATCCTTCAACAAAGGAATTACAAAGGGAGATTGTAGCACAACATTGAACAAGAATTTACAAAGAAATCCAATTTGATCCATTTAAGCTTGCATTATTTCCTGTCCAACCGCAGGTGCTTATTACCTTAGCAATGTTTAATTGCATGCTGTTGCCGTAAACTACTGCTGTTGTGAATTGCTTCTTTGCTTCTCTTAGGTTCAGTTTGTGTGTTAAACTTTTTAAAAAACTGCTTATGCTTGTCATTTCTATTTTAAAGAAAACAGCCTACCAAGAAGATTTTATTAGGAACATTCTCCTAATGCTAGTAGTATTACTCTCCTGTGTCTTTTAGTTTGTGTTCCAGTGGATGATTAATAGCTAGCCATGATTTTTGCTGGTCACCTAATGTGAAGAGAGATCTCTTTGGAGAAGACCCTGATGCTGGGAAAGATTGAAGGCAAAAGGAGAAGAGGACGGCAGAGGATGAGATGGTTAGATAGCATCACTGAAGCAATGAGCATGTGAGTGGTCCTCGTTATTGAATCAGTTTCTTCTTCTGCCACCAGTTTGTGGTGACCATTGGAGGGCCCTGAGGGCCCCACCCAAGCCCTTGGGGCTACGTGCAGCCCTGGGGGTCCCCATGCTCAACTACCCGCAGGAAGAGCTTGGTT